CCCAAGCACTCAGCAAGGTTGTGTCATTTGGATAGAGGGGTTAGGGCATGATGATTGTGTCCTTTATTTCTTTGGAACTGACCCAAACCAACTTTTAATGAATTGAGTGGTTCTAAAGAAAAGTAGCCCTAATTAAAAAAGAATGAATGACAAAAGGTTTTCGCGCCCCCCCCCCCAAAAAAAAAGTAAATCTATTCTGGATCCAAGCCGAGGGATTAATGGAAAATCACAAGAACGTTGTTTTAAAGGATTCCAGTGTTATAAGAGCACAATAAAACACAGATTTGCCTGTTTTCCAGTCTCATCCCTCTTACGGCCAGAATCACCGTGTTTTAGTGTCTTCAATTTAATGTATGTATTCAAACATCCAGTTTATCTACGTTCTGTAACTTGAGAGCCCTAGGTGGTTTTGTGGGTTACTTGAGCTGCTAACCAGAAGGTTAGCATTTCTAACTCGGCAGCAGCTTTGAGAAAGGAAGAAAAGACTGCCCCATGAAGATTTTCTTCCTTAGAAATCTACGTGGGGAGTTCTCTCGCTAGGAGTTGAAACTGACTCAATGACGTGAGATTCTATGTTTTATTTCACTAAGAATGCAATTTGTGGCTTGCCAATTAAGGCAAAGAAGCAGGCATGAATAAGAATTATGTGTGAAGTGTACAGGCTTGTGAAGTCTAAAGCTAACTTGTCCCTGACAGGGTATTTCTTCCCTTAGCCACAGAGGTGATTCCAGATACTGCTTAAAACCAGTTCATATTTTGGGTGTATGTGTAATGTCCAATTGTGTGTCCCTATACGTGTTTGAGGGCAGGTGATCAATGTATCTCGAGTATATTACATCTGCCAGGAGACCAGGATGTGACACTCATTTGGGTGTGTGGATCTCGGTATATGGGTATACTGCCATTATCTAAACCTCTATTTGGTGTAAACTTGAGTGTGCGGCCCCAGATGTTTGCCAAGGATCTGTCTATCTTTAGATTCGCATTCACATCGGTTGGGCTGGTTTGGGGGCATTGGCCCCGCCCCACTCCCGCCTCTCAGAACAAATCTGTATCCTGCGGGAAAACGGCTGCGCGTGCACACGTGTGCAGCTCCGAGGACGCCGAAGTCTTCGGGGTCGCACGTTCTCGCGCGCGCGCTCCAGTGGACAGCGACCGCTGCGCTGACAGAACGAGGGGGCGGGGCTGCAGGCAGCGGAAGTGAAGTCACTTCCGGACTGGGGTGTTTGTTTGGTCTGGAGAAGGGAGGTGGCGGGCGAAGCGCACGACGAGCCGGGGAGCGGCGCTGCCTGTGGAGATCCGCGGAGGCCGACAGGATTCGTTGGCTGCCGTCCCCGCTTCCGTGCACTGGGTGAGGGGGTCCCTTCGGGCGGAGCAGCAGGAAGGGCCTGACGGCCCTGGCGACCGAGGAACAGTGCCTTGGAGACACCTGAGGGGCCTAGAGGGTCCCCGCGGGTGGTTAGCTACTGATTCCCCAGATGGTCTCCGTTGTTTCTCTCGCCTAGCCTGAGGAACCAGCTTAGCTGACTTAGTCTCTTTTTTTAACAAATGGCCGTTGGTTTTTTTTCTCATTGTCATTATTACATATGATTTGGTTCTGGCCGCTTTCTATCCGGGGCTTCCGTGGCGCGCAGGGGTTGCTGGGATAGCACTTTCTCCCGTGCCCTCACCCTTTTTCAAACCCTTTCTTCCTACCCGGTCCCTCTACCTTTCTTTGGGCCCCGTAGCCGCCTCGGCAACAAAGCTCATTGTTTCTGCCCAGTTTACGCCTGCGCGTCGCCACACGCACCCCCTATTCGCTGCGCCTGCGCGCTCTTTCCTCAGCTTGGGGCTGTGCGGGACGGTGTGCTGCCTAAAGTGGGGGGACGACCAGCGGCCTGGCGAGCAACCTGAGGGAGCGTCCTGAAGCCGTCAGCGGGCCTGTGTCTTTCTGACCCCTTTCTCAACCTTCCCTACTCTTCATTTTTAGTATTTGTATCCAGATAGATAACATTTGTATCCAAGTGCCAGATAGCAACTGTACTTTGCTCTATGCTATTGGGGACCCCGACTCCCGGCCGACTTTGAATTAGATGAACTTTAAGACTATCCAATTGGGTTGTTTTGGGTAGTCTTGCCTTGCCTCATAATTCCTTTCCAATCATTTATGCTTATATCCCCTCCCCCAAAATAAAGACTTTTGGCGAAGTTTTGTTTTAAAAATCAAACTAACAACAGTGATTATATATGTGTATGTATACACACACATACATATATACGACTCATTAGGTGGACCTTTTCTCCTTTTTTTTCTGATTTTCCGACCTTGTCACTTTATGGATAAAATAGAATATGGCTTTCAGCTTATTTTGGAGGAAGCCTTAATGTAGTTGACAGCCTTTCTCACATTAATTTCAACCACTTGATAACTGCTGGCTAATACCTGGACCCTGGTAGCACAAATTGCATTTGAGCAGTTGGATAGATGTTAAATTGCATTTTCATTAAACAGCCATTGACGTTTTATCTGCTACCTTTTGTTTGCAAATAGAAAAAGGATCCTTAAAAGATTTTAAAGGGGCGGAAAAAGATTTCAAAGATACCATCGTGTTTGCTGTTTTGTTGTTTGACTTCAGGTTAGTGTAAGTCACGATACTTGCAGCAAATTAGATCTTTTTTGTTGTTGCTTATTGACTATGAACTATTTCTCAAAAATAGGTATTTATTACCAATAAAGGTAAACAAAAAAGAACCCAAACTCATTGCCATCGAGTCAATGCTGACTCATAGTGACCCTATAGGACAGGGTAGAATTGCCCAATGAATTTTCAAAACTAATGTGTTTTTTTTTCCCAATCATTTTATTGGGGGCTCGTACAGCTCTTATCACAATCAAGATTAATGCTTTTATAGTTGTTGAAAGCCCCATCTTTCTCCCATGGAGGAGTTGGTGTTTTCCAACTGCTCACTAGAGGTGAGCAGCCCAAATCTTAACCACTGCACCACCAGGGCTCCTACTGATAAAGATAGGCAATGTCAAACTTATTTTGAATTTCTGTTTCTTAGGAGAGAGGGAAAATGGCTAAAGGCTCTGGAGTTTGAACATTTCTGTTATAGCATTGCTTCTGTAAAGTTCAATTGAGCTAAATGATATCTGTCATCTTTGGGACAGAGCAAGTTTATAGCAGGCTTTTCCTTGAATAAGTATTATGTACCTTATCCATGTTCATCCATTTTATGAGTCTAATTTTAATGAATGAAAATCTAAATGTTTATAAATATCCAGTTAGCATAGTAGTTTGACAAATATGGTGGGAGATGAAAATAACACCATGAACCTACCATGTAGTCTAATAACTTTATGCTTTTATATCATACAATTTAGAAAATAATGTTTGTATTCATTATCATCAACCTGTTAGGTAGGCAAATTGTATCTTACCCACTTTGAGATTGAGAAATAGAAATGTGAGAAATTTGTGTGTATTTAGTAAATACTTACATAGTATTGTGCTTTTACTAATCCTTCTACCACCCTCTCAACATCTTTAGAGCAGCGGTTCTCAAACTGTGGGTCACGGCCCCTTTGGGGGTCGAACGACCCTTTCACTGGGGTCGCCCAATTCATAACAGTAGCAAAATTACGGTTAGGAAGTAGCAACGAAAATAATTTTATGGTTGGGGGTCACCACCACATGAGGAACTGTATGTAAGGGTCACAGCATGAGGAAGGTTGAGAACCCCTGCTTCAGAGGTAAGTAATACTATCAAGTGAAGATAAAAACCAGTGCTATTAAGTAACTTGCATGGTGTCATACAGCTGAGAAGAGGTGGAATTCAAATCCAGTAACCCAGCTGTTGTATGTACACTGTTAGCCATTGTCTTGAGGTTTAGTGATATGCCCATAGTCCTGACAGTTGCACAGTTATTGGCATATCTTGAATTTAAACGTACAACTTCTGACTCTAGTTCAATATTAAAATTGTCCGAGTCATCACCTTTGTGATCAGGACCATACTTTCACACAGGTACATTGATAGTTTGCGGTAGATATAACCTAAGGTTCAATTCTAATAGTTCATTCTTTTCATCTTCTTAATTCGATTATGTAGAGCAGTGCTGTCCAATAAGGTAGGTACGTGTGGCTCTTGAGCATTTGAAATACAGCTGCTGATGGAGAATTTGCCTTTTTAATTGTAATGATTTTAATTACAAGCATTCCTCTTTTTATTGCACATTACAGGTGCTACGCTATTTACAAATAGAAGGTTTTAGGAAATCCTGTTTTGAGCAAATCTATTGGTGCTATTTTAACAGTAGCATATCCTCACTTAGTGATTGTCAAAATATTTCAAATGTCTTCGTATTATTGTATACTAATAGTACCAAAACCCTCAGTGGTCATGTCAGTTTTGACTTAGAGAAAACCTAGATAGGGTGTCCTAGGCTGTCAATCTTTAAAGTATCAGATAGCCTCATCTTTCTTCCTCAGAACAGCTGGTGGATTTGAACCAGAGTGTATCCCACTACTCCACTAAGGATGCTTTAATAAACAGCATCCTTAGTGTTTAAAGCGTCATGTAAATGTAACTGAAATACATTGGAAAATTGAAAAATTAATGAGACTTTTGCTTTATTGCGATATTTGCTTTATAACAACAGGCTGGAATAGTAAAACTACAGTACCTATATCCAAGTTGTGCCTGTAATTGAAATTTAAATAGCAGCATGTAGCTTACTGGCTATTATGTTAGAGTGCAAGTTAGTGGTTTTGAATTGCTTCTATCTGTTTCTTATCTTTCATATTAGGTTTTATACATAACAGTTGTGATTAGGGTTATAACCTTTGTTTGGATTTGTTTTTATGATACTGTTTTGTCAGGTTCAAGGCTAGTGAATTTTACCTGGTTCCTTGTTCTAGCCTCGTTTACCTGCTCTAACTGTTTAGAAAAACACAAAGATCCATAATACTTTTTGTGATGTGCCAGAGAACAAAGATACACTGTTTGTTATATGCCAGACTCTAAAGTATTGTCCTTTTTTTTTTTGTTTGTTTTGTTTTGTTTTTTTTAGTATTGTCCATTTTATAGAAAAATAAACAAGACATAAACTTGAAAAACCCATTGCCATCAGGTCAGTTCCAACTCAAACGATGGTAGTGTAGGTGAGAGTAGAACTGTCCCATAGGGTTTCCACTGTAGTAATCTTTACAGAAGCAGTCTGCCACAACTTGCCCCCATAGAATAGTTGATGGATTTAAACCTCCAACCTTTTGGTTAGCCCTGAGTACTTAACCACTGTACCTAGTAGACATAGATTAAATAACTTGCCTATGGTCACTCATAAAAAAGGTAGCCTGATTTCAGAGCTCATGCTTTTAATCATTACTTTGTATTGCCAAACATTAAGACCAAAAATGTAGCACTTTCCTTAAGCATGTAAGTAGAAGATGGAGGCCTTTCCCTCAGCTGCTAACTGAAAGGTATGGAGCACAATTTTATTCTGACACACAATGGGGTCTCCATGCGTCAGAGTTGACTCAAAAGCAACTGCTCTTTTTTTGCTTTTATGTATACATACCATATATACTCAAGTATAAGCCGACCCAAATATCAGCCAAGACACCTAATTTTACCACAAAAACTGCATTAAAAATGTGCTGAAAAACTCTGCTTATACTACACAAGTGTATACAGCGTATTTGCAATTAAAGTTTCTCCCTAGTTCACAGTGGTCTAGAATAAGAAGATAGAATCCCTTCAGGACCAGTGGGGTGAGTGGCGATACTGGGATGGTAGAGGGAGGGTGGGTTGGAAAGGGGGAACCGATTACAAGGAACTATATGTGACCTCCTCCCTGGGGGAC